AAAAATGGTTAGGATCGGAAAAATAAAATTGTAATTAATGATTTAAATATTACTAAACATTTTAAAACAATCAAAATATGCACTTACAATCTAATTATTGACATAATGAAATGAATAGATAACGTTTTGACAAATTTGAACAAACATCTGATCCAATGAAAGGAAATATGGCAACACTGTACGCTGTATTTAATGCTTCGACTGGCACGCTATATTTGACTAGCTCGAATATAAGACTATAAAATTATTCCAGTCGAAAACATATGAGTAATAATCAATATTAAATAAATTTTACGTGATCTAATGCAATTTGAAACAAAAATTGAAAGGATATGTTTGCAAAACGAACAGTATAGATGTTCTGTCATAATCTTCAATTTGACAAGACGACGTCTCACTACCATACACTTCGCTTCTTGATAGTTATCATATGGATTCTCGGTTTGCACATTTTACTTTTTTCTCATCAATCCATATTCTGTTTCATACGCATTTTATATTGCTTTTCAGTCATTACTTTTCCTTTGTATGTATGTATGTATGGTGTTCATTCATGGTTACGGTATACACGCTAGTACAGTTTTGACAGTTGGCCCAACTTTTACCATGACATACTATGTGCAATATTGCCAAATTTCACCCATAGTTTTATAAGCTCTTAATGAATAAATAGACACTTTAATTCAAATAAAAAGTTAATTGCTGTCCATTAAACACGAAAAATATATGCGAGCTAATATGTGTTGTATAAATTTCATTCATAAATATCATATTTAGTTCACTCAAATTAGTTTATGTAAAGTTGGTACTACAACGAAATTCCCGTGTATAAGCACAGGCTTCTCTCCCGCATCACCTGCCCCGCAAGAGATCTATCGAACCTCCTTAAATGGGAACCATTCTCGTGAACCCCCATTTATATCTCATGCACCCCCAACTTTTGTTTTTGCTGATATAGACCCCTTGCAGTTCCAAGTCAGCCCCTAGGGGTCGATATAGACCACTTTGGGAATCATCAATCTAGATGTTAATACCGAACTTGCCTCTGGATTTGAAAAATCAGTTCATGCGCACAGACCTCCGTGTCCGAGTCCACAATAATCCTAGTTTAGTAAAATTACATAATTCAGAAGTATCTGCATCCTTTCTTAAATAATCCAATTGAAAGATACGAATGAAACTTTTTAAATACTATACTATTTATTATTTTATTTATTATATTTAGTATTTGTCATTATTAGTTTCAATCTATAGAACATTCAAACACCAACTTCAGAAGAAGGAAAATTAATAATTTCCAAGAATTTCATGTTTAATTTTTACAGTTTTAAGTTACTGTAGTACAATTTTGCTTCATTAAAATGTTACGGACCTTAAAACAATGTAGGTGTGTTACTTAGGTAATATTTTAAAATAACTCATTTTTTACATACTCCAATGAAGTTTGTTATTGACAGCTTTTAGGTTAGCTGAAGCTGAACATAGGCTTATTGTTACCTAAAGCATACAGGTCGCTAAGAATACCTGAAACAGTCAACACAAGGGTTTTGTGTAATGTTATCTTTATTGTATAAAATGTATCAATTTGTTTACAAGTTAGATCAATTTACCTTCATTGGAAAGTCAACGCCTATTGAGATGTAGGCCTCTAAATATGTTTCGCCATATTATAGAGATTATATCTTATTAGATGCTAACATTTAAATAGAAGTAAATTACGGAGCCTATTCATTAGCGAATACGATCGGACAACATGGTTGTTGCCATGTTGGTTGAATTTGTTTTATATATTTTAATTATGTACAAAAAAACATCTAGCCCCGAATGGCTAGACTCTGTATAACACAGGGTTCATAGTTCAAAAATAATAAAGAATTCCCTGACTTTTCCAAGTTTTCCCTGACTAAAAAAAAATCCAGGTCACTTGTAGTTCATTTTTACATACTAATTGGTATTTATGTATTAAATTTTTTCTCGACTGGACCCCATAATCTTTTTTATACCCTAACAACCTCTTATAAAGGTTTCAAAACCACAAATAGATTTCTCTTTCAAGAACCCAGGGCCGGCTTTCACAAAATTTCCAGTCGCAAACATCAAATTCCCTGACTTTCATGAATATTTTTAAAATTCCTTGACTATTCCCTGTCTTTTAAGAAGAATAACAAATTCCCTGACTTTTCCCGGTATTCCCGGTTTTCCCGGCCGCTACGAACCCTGAACAAAGCAAAATACAAAACTTCCGTAATTTTAACTGCCGAAGAGATTTGTCAGATTAGATAACTAATTTAAATAATTATTTATTGAGTTATTTAGATATAGAGCAGTTTATAACCTGTTTAAAGTTTTCAATCATAATTTTTGTCAATCATAATCATAATCATAATTGTTAGGACATTATTTATTATCCCAGAAAGTTATATAAGGGTATAAAAAAAATACATGAATGTAACTATTTATTAATGTATGTTTTGTATGTTGCAAAAATAAGAAAAATATTCTTAAACCTAACATATAAAAATTCACAAGTGACAAATTGTCTATTGTACAAATCAATTAAAGCTGTATAACCCTTTTTTAAGTCTATTGGAATATTCCGGGGACTTAATTGTCCATAGTGCAGTGTGTGCAGACACACCAACGCACATTTTACGACCAACCATGTTGTCCAACAGAGCTCACTAGTGAATGAGGCCTTTTATTGTAAATCATAAAACACAGCTATAATTATTGCAAAAAGATCAAGTTTAATTATAGTAGTTTGCCCCTAACAGCAATAGAAACTTTAATTCCATTTTTCTCTGAAAATCTATACAGACAAAAAAATATGGCAAAAAACAAGACTGCTTCAGGTATTCTCAGCCTTTAAGAATTAGATAAAAAATAAAGTTATGTCCATCCTCTAAAATACCCCTAAACCAAATTTCATTGAAATATCTAAGGAAATGACAGTTATCTTAAAAAAAAGTGAGATAACCTGAGGTAAAAGGTGGCTGGAGATAATGTGAATGGGTTTATTTTTTTGCAAGGAACTATGTATAACTCCTTCGTTTCGAGTCACCCTGTATTATCGCTGGGATGGCTTTTTCCTCCTCCATGAATGATATAATAGATCACTTAATTTAATAAATAATTCTATAATTAGATAATAAAGTTAAGTTAAATCTTCAAAAGTAAATTTGAAATATATTTCAATTTTAATTTCAACGTTTTGTAATCAAGTACTCTTAGTGCATACGTACTTGTTTTTCTGGAAAGTAAGTCAATTGTTATTGAAATTACACAGCAATTTAGTTTTTGTGTTAGTTTGTTATTATAATTATAAATTAAATTTGAGACTCTTGATTTAGGTGAGGTATTTATAATTATTCGGGTAGGTACTCTTTTTCATACTAAAACCACATATCTAACCCATATGCGACACTCCTTTGATAAGGTACAAATGCCGCCGTTGACCTTGTCCATTTAAACTGGATGCTAAACGTTGCCAGATTGGGCAATATCTGATCTGATATTTGAAGAAAGTGTTGTCAGTTCGAAATATTGAATGAACATGAACATAAATTGCTTACACCTACATTTATCACAATTTTCACTGAATTAATAAAGTGTCTATCTAAATGGGATGATAAATTAGATAACTAATGTATTAAAATAAAATTGCTAAGTGTTTATTAATTTTTTGTTGAAATAAAATACCTAATAACAAATTACACATATTTAATTTTACATTTTTTATATTAGGAGTTTTACTAAAATTTTGATTAATAGATTTTATATAGTAGTAAATTTGCAGAATTACAAGTTCCTTTATTAAATAGTCCAAAGGATAATTTGGACAGGGATGTTGAACTGGAGGTACATCTTTAGAAAAATTATAAATGGTGTTTCCTGGGTAGTTACAAATACTATTATCAATCAAATTTGTTATTTAACTGAGTAATGAATATAGAAAATATGTCATTTTAGGAATAGTAAACTTCGAAAAGGTGTTACACTAGTTATGTAAATTTGAAATTGTTTTATCCATACATTATTAATTCTGGGCGTCCACATTTTTCTATCGACATCTAAAAGAACAATTTATATTATAAATTAATTAATAAAAATTATATTTAATATTTAAACAATTTTTATAAGAAATTTAAGATTACCTATATAAAAAGTAATAATTATACAATTAAATGTTCTTCTTTAGAAAAGCGAAAAAAATGTTTTTATTTTCTTTCTTGCATTTCCGATACTGATTTGGACATTCTTTGTAACTGCAAATAATTGTTAATAAAAACCCCAGTTTTAAAAATAAATAACTATAAATCCACTGTAAATAACTTTTTAAAACACTCCAATACAGCTAACGGCAACAATGTTTACAAAACGGCTATTATATGATTTATACAATTATACGTAACGTCACTAACAGAAACCACTCGGAGATAAAATATGTTCGGAAGTATTCAGGCTTCATCAGTAATGTATTTAATTTGCAGATAAAAACCGTTCATACGAGTAGCATCATTTTATGGGCAAAATAATCAAACATTCTATTTTACTCTACAAAATTTATATATCCTTAAAAGTTTTGTATTTCATATTTATTATGTTTATTGCTGAAATAATAGTAAATCTGAAAATATCATCTTACGTTGTCACACAGCTGTTCTATTTAGAAATACGCATGCGTTCAGTGCCTTTAACTTGCATGTATCTCCATTCGTGTTGCACAAAGTAGCCCTTTCTCTCTGTCGCATATGGGTTAGATATGTGCTAAAACTAGGCATTGTATCACCTACTTTCATTAAATATTAATTAAATGCTTGCTAATTAAGAATCATAACCCCTACAGCCTGTTTTAAACAATTTTGTAATTTCCCGTCAAACTGGGTTATTTCGCTTTGATTTTTTTTATAATTACTGAAAACTAACTAAAAATACCTATAAATGACTGAATGCAGCAAATTTTATCTTAAAATTATGTTATAAATAAATATTAAAATTACCTGTATTTCCAATAGTAATTCAGTTTTTCGTCTCCTTATATCGATTAAAATTTTTTGTTGTTCAGGGGTTAAATCTAAAAACAGAAAAATTAAAAAGCTGATTAACACTAATAGGTTTGGTTTTGCGATAGTAAGGAATCAGTTTGAAACTATCAGGAGTATTTGATCAGTTTGTTTTGAACTATTAAATAATACCAATTTAAATAACAAATTACCTGTGATGATTTGAAAACTGTTCAAAATTGCTACCAAAATAAACCTAATAAATCACTTCTGTGACCTCAGATCTCAGAAAGTAGAGCTAGTGTTTGCCTTTATACATAGGGGCATGTTTTAAACTTTTGTTAGTAGCACAAAAAATATACCATTATTGCATATTGCTAGCGGCTCACATAATGAGTTACAAGACCTAAGTGCCATGGAGTATAATCAATATAGAAAAATTTCTATATATCTTGTATATTCTGTGCTAAGTTACACGTTGTGTTTTGTCTACGATGTTAAAAAATTATTTAAAAAACAAGATAACATACTAACTAACATATCTATATATCATGTAACAACTATCAAATCGTTATATTATCTCCAATAATTCGGCTGTAAATATTAAGCAACAAAATTCGGTAGATTTACCTTCTCCACAGTGGATTATAAACTAAATAGCAATGAAAATTGTTACTATTGTGAGAAAATTTAATAATTACTTTCACTCGAAGAACCATATTTAAAAAATTAAGGAATTTGTTGGCTAATGAGGTTAATGTTACACGAACCTTCATAAAATTTTAATTTCATAATTCCGGATAGAAAACTGATTTTAAAAATTAAATAAGTCATGCTTATAAAATTCGTAATAAACAATTTGTCCTTTTATAATCATACCGTATTGTGACTTGTCACATCGTTTTTATGTAACAAATATATTTAATTTAACTTACCAGCAATGTTAAATGTATCAAGATTATGTCCAGATGTGCCCATTGCAAGTTTAATTTCAATATATTATGTGTATTAAATAATTATCAATCATGTTGTTTTATAAACAAATACATTAGGCTAATTGACAGACAACCACCATTTTGAATGTGCTAAAAAGTTAGAAATGTCAAATGTCAGGTCAGGTCAGAATAGATCAGACTGCTTTCGTTTTGTAGAGTATGTTAAATCAGAGTAAAGCCACACAAGATAAAACAACCAGAATTATATCTCGTTGTCGGCACCTTTGATCACTGATGTCTGTTTTCAGGGACCTTGAATAACGTAAATCCCCCACTTTTGGTATACAAAGTCAGGATTGTATTCAGTGAAATTTTATTGCACTAAACAGAGATATACTAACAAAAAAGCCAGGAATTTATGTGCAGCAGAAAATGAGGTTAATCATGCAAAAGACTTGGTTATTTACGAGAAAAAGTCTAATAAAGGCGAATTTTAGATTTATTTTAATTTTAAGTTAATCCAGTCTATTAATGAAATTATTCAATGTTAAAAATATTTATATATTTCGCCGCCATTATTCCATGGCTAGAAATTCCTCAATGATTTGGGATCGAGGGGGATTATCCCTCTTTATCCTGCCTCATGTCGTGTAGGCCTGGACAGCCTTCGTAGGTGGGCCCCATCCGTCGTCTACCCCGACCGCAAATGCGGCCGGTGTAGGCGCTTTGTGGGACCTCCTTTTGTCCTGGCTGGGCCCCGCCGGCTAGGGCCCTTTCTTCTGGCGCTCTTCTTGCTTCGCCGGCTCGTCTGTGTAAACCCCGGGGGTAGTGTCATGTTTATGTGTGGTATGGTTGGGTAGGGTAGTGCGGCTATGCAGCCTGGGATGCGCTTTGCTAAGGTGGCCCTTAGG